ACGCTTTGAAATGTGAATAAACACAGTGTCTGTAAAAGAGAAGGCACACTTGAGATTACCTCCTGCCATCTTTGTACGCAATGACCATCATCGTTTGACTTTCATGATCAAAGTCAGGCCACACAAAAACACAGGATCATGAGGAGGTAAAGACTCCTGCGCTGTTGTGTCCCAGTTACCGGAGCTCCCGGTGGAATGGTGATACACTGTGCATCTCATTCACGCTGACCCTGAACTAGTTGGTCATTCTGCACAAGTAAAATGGAAACCTCCTCTCAGAATAAAACTTTCTAAAACAAAACAAACTGAAAACTTTTTCGAGTTACATTTTCTTCTAAAAAGAAACATTCCACATATTTAATGTCACACGAGTTTTATAAAGTGTACAAAGGCACTAATAAAATTGTCTGTAGTCCTATTCCTTATTTTCACATGGCATTATTTGAAATATTGATTTACAAAGATATTAACTTATTTATTTTTATGAGCAGATTGGTAAAATATCTCCTTATATCAGTGACTGGCAGTCAACACCTGACCCATTGGCTTGTTCTATTCAAACTCCAAAGTATTATAAAGTAGTACTTCGCTACGTCGTGGTTTGACCTTCACGGACTCCTCTTTCGCCGTTTTTCAACGTTGTCAACTTTAATATTACTCACATGATTGGGATAGTATGGGATAAAAAGTTTATGAAAAAAATACTTTGGACAGACACCGCCATTTTGTAATTTTTTTTCAATAAGCCTACTGTAACACCAGTCATAATACACTACCCAGAAGCCAACAGTGCTTCTGGCCACTGCTTTTCGCCGAAATGGAGGGAAAGTTTTGCTAACGCAAAGTCAGAAGTAACGATCTATCTATTAAGCTCACAAAACTGGCAGGAAAGTCGCAAATAATCCTGAAGCTGAACTCCTTCAAGTTGTATCTTCACTGGTGAGTAGCTGGGCTGCAGTTGATCCAAACTCAGTGTGACCCGGATTCTGGGGGCTGCAGGGAACAGACCGCAGTGGGGTTCTGCCCAGTTCTGGTTGCGTGAAAGACCGAGGTCGTGGACTACATCCTGGGCAGCCTTGTTTGCGGAGTGTCCTTCCTGGAGCGGCAACATGAGCACATCAACATGGATGGGGCGGTGGGCTTAGTCATGCTGCAGGGTAGCTGAACTAAACCGAGTCTGAACAGAACCGAGCTTCTACAGAACTGGTGAGTACCTGTATAAAACTTTGCAATAGCTGCTGTGCAGTAAAAAAAAAAAAAAATCATTCAACCTTTATTTATACAGGTTAGTTTCCATTGAGCCTCGAGGACATTTACAAGAGACCTGTTACTTAAATATATGCATGTTGTTAAAATTACATAGGTTTAAGAGTTTAGAACATTGCAAGAGTGTGGGAAGGGTTTATAAAGCCTTAAAATACATATAATACTAAAATAAATAAAGTGTTCCTGCTTCGTGGTTTTTCACCTATCGCGGGGGTATGTGGAATGTAACCCCCACGATAACTGAGGGACTACTGTATAACAATTGCAATCTGACACCAAAGTCCATGCTCAATAATCCAGGTATAAAATCCAACAATGTTCAGTCAGGTCATGGACGTTTTTTTTTTGTTTTGTTTTGTTTGTTTGTTTGTTTTTTTGGGGGGGGGGGGGGGGGGGTTGTGCTGAGACGTTTCGCCTTGCATCCGGAAGGCTTCATCAGTCTGAGGAAACACCAAACAAAACTGCTTCTCTCCCATCAGCTTACTCCAAAGTGGAGAAAACCCACCGAGAGACTGACCACCTCAGACTGATGAAGCCTTCTGGATGCAAGGCGAAACATCTCAACACAAAAAAAAGAAACCCTCCAGATGTTCTGACTGAACATTGCTGCAATCTGTCATAATTATTTCAATTGTGCACATGATCATTGGTTCTCACAGTTAAGGTCGGGGACCTCACTGTGCGTACCAAAACACCAAGTGGGAGTTCTGCGGTGATCCTCAGTAAAATGAAATTGTTCAAAACAGCACATTTTACCATATTTGAGAGATAAAGACAGAAGTCATAAAGAAATAAAATGAGTATAAATGACTGTTAAGACTGTCAGTGAATGTAGTTGATGTGTTTAGTTAACAATACTTGGGGTCACAAGTTTCTGCTGCTTATGTTGTTGGCCAATAGCTGAAAGGTTTGTGAAACTGTTTGGCGTTGGTGGAGAAGATTTGACGAGATTATATAGGCGAAAACAACATAATCAACTTTGCTACTCAATGCTCAAAAGGATTTTTCTAACAAATGTGGCACCAATTAAGGGGGAAAACCAAAGCTTTCCAACTGTATAAGATTTATTGCCAGGAAGCAGTTGCTGCAAATAAATAATAAATAAAAAAAAAACTTAAATGTTGTGCTGTTTTTTTCAACTTAAGCTCATTCAAAGAGCTGTGTACAGGATATAAGATTTTAATTGTCCATGACCTTTTTACAAAACCACATCGAAACAAGCTTCCAAATACTTACACGCTTCACTTTGAAACCAGCTAATGAAACTTAGTGCCAGCAGTAAAGTGTATTAGAAGTAATTCAGCTGAAGAAAACCAACATCAACAACCTGACCAGATATCAGGAGAGTCCAAAGAGGTTCGAGACATTCAGACCTTAAATCGGCCATTTTTCAACTAATAGAAATCGTATTTTGTGTTCGCTGGTCTGATTCATTCCTTCAACTGGATTTGTGAATCTGTCAGCTGCAGTCTCCACGTCATAAAATCACCAAGTGTTAGCTTGTCCAGAAATGAAATTAATTGTAATAAATGTCTTTAAAATGATCACAGTGCTCTTGTGTTTTCATGTTTATTTTATGAAAGCCTGTGTTTCATCTGCCTCACCGTCTAATGTCTACTTTCGTCTGATTTTCTCTATGTGATCCATAAAACAGTGCGACATCATCCCACCTCCCTGAAAGCCTCCCTTCATCTTTGGAAACTCTAAAAGGGCTCTGCATTTCCCTCTCAAAAGAGGTATTCCTGCCCAGATACACTCATCTGCTCCCTTCCCTCAATTTATTTCATTCCTCTTGAGTCTCCCAGGTGTACTCTAACTCATGAGCTCGAGCAGGAAGCCACACTTCATTAAGGTCTGTACTGATCCTGAGGCGCTGGAGCCAGAGGCAAAGTCAATGACAGAGTCGGAGTGAAATCTCTCAGTTAGGCTGCAAGGCACGCACACAGAGCGAAAGACCTGGAGCCATGGTTTACCCTAGGGCTGGCTCTGAACAGATAGAGCTTCATAATTAAAGCAACATGAGGGGAAATGCCTTTAGAATGCAAAATATATCAGTTTTGTTTGTTTGTCTGTTTTACTTAATGTGTGTAATGCATGTAATATGCTGTCCTTAAAGGAAAACACAGTGCCAGGCAATGGATCTTTGTGTAAGGAGTTTCATTAGGATTCATCTATTGGTTCATGAGATATTTCGCTGACAGACAGATATGGTTGACGCTAACTGTAAATGCCAAAGAGCCCATACAATCTACAAGATCTCAAAATATGTGTTGAATTTTAAAATTCCAAATTTCACTTCATTATCTGCAAACTTGACGTATCTGCAGCCATTTTTGTTTTTCCTGAGGTTGATAAGCTGTGGCAGCCATGTTGAGCTTTGATTCTAAATGTTAATTGTTGTAGATGTCAAATCTATGATTACTTTGTGAGAGTGTCATTAAAATGTATTAACTGGTTCATGACACAGTTTGCTAACAGACAGATAAACAAACTAGCACATGCTTTCATGACAGCAATAAGAAAACTTATGTTAAAAAAAACACCTTTTGGTTTTGTAACTAAACTATAAATATTTCTAAAAACAAGGTTTGCCATCATAAAAAAGTTCTACCTTAAGTATTTCTTTCTTGACAGTTTAGCACTCGGTTTGATCAAAGCCAAATCTGCTCTGACTACATGTCAGGCAGCAATCAAGACATGGAAGTTAAAGCACCATAAGTTAAATCCTTGATTTTATTTAAGACTACATCATGACAAATGATCAAATAACTCCCATTGTTTTCAGACAGATTTAAGAGTTTGGGTTTGAGTTAACCATGAAGTACACAAATTATCCTCCTCGTTCAGGTGTGTTCAGTGATTTCCTCTGTGGAGAATAATGACAGCTTATTGAGAGGCTGGCCTCGAAAATGTGAAACATATTAGCCCAAACACACACAGTACACATGCACACAAATAAAGGCTAAATGAAAAAAAAAATTAAAAAAAATAATGTTTGTGTGAATGTGTGCGCGCACGCCAGCCCATGAGCTGGGATGAGCCACTGTGTGTGCGAAGGGAGAAACCAGAAGAAAATGCAGGAACATCGCTGCACCCGGGCACCGACACTTAACCCTAATAAGTTTTTGGCTTCCTCTGAAACAATCCTTTAAAATAGTTTTAGATGTTAAAGAGATTTGACACACTGGTGTAAAAGATCCCAGGTTGCAACATGTTTATGACTTGCCATCAAAGGCAAAAGCAAAGCAATAAGATTTTTTTACATGCTTTCATTTATCTGTACCATTAGAGCCATGTGGCAAATTTAAATGAAACTCCCAGAAAGTGTTCATTTATCACTTACTCACTTTAAAGTCATCTCAATTTAAGGTGGACACCACAACTAATAGACATTTGCCAAGACAAAAATGGCTATTCAGTCAGTTTTGCAAATATTGAGTTAAAGTCTGATGTGGTAGCAGCTAAGATTCATCCTTAATACATACTCAAAGCACAAAGGCATCTCATGAGAAACCACAATATTGCAAGAGGCTACTTAAAATGTTATTGCAAGGGATATGTCAAAGAATGCTGGGTCTTTAATTTAAGAAGTAAAACTGGCTCATTCATGTCTGCCAATCTGATTATGTGATGCTACTTGTTCAGACAAAAGATCTCAACCTATTTAGCATATCAAGTGTAACAACAAAACATGAATCTTAAGTCATTTATTGGTAGTACGACTGAGTCCATACCTCCAGGTAAGCTGATAGGGCCACATCCTTTGCCCTGAGGGTCTTCTTTCATGATGAATATGGTCTTCTTGCAAAGCCTCCAGAGGCCAAAGTGGGCCGCCTCACATGTGGCGTTGAGCTTTTCCACCCGGGGACTGAGAACTGCCCAGTGGTCAGTCACCACTGCAGCCAGCATCGCCGACATCCCAACGACTATCACCACGGACGTGATCTTGACTTTTGTCACCTGCTCCTCAAACATGTTGCCGCTCAGTGTGTGTGTGTGCTGTAGATGTGTGTATGTGTGTGTGCACGTGCCTGTGTTTGTGTGTGGCAAGAGGACAGGAACCGCTAACTGTGTGTTAGCAGAGTGACTGCAGAGACTAGACGTAGTTGCTCCTCTTCTTGTTTTCTTTGGTCTTTGACATCAGATGTGGACTCCAGAAATTCCGATGTCTTCGGCACACAGCCGATGTCCTCTCGTCTCTCCTGCTTTCCAAGGTTCTTTCTTTTTCTTTCTCTGCCTTGTGCCTGGTGGTTGGTAAAAAGGGGCCAGATAACAGCGCCCTATTTTCTTCCTCACTCATCTCTTCCTCTCCCTCCCTGTTTGTCTTTGGTAAGCTGAGGCTATTCAGTTACTCTATGAACATGCACCTGGATGTGTTTACACCTTTCACACCAATTACCTGATCACCATAAGTATCAGGGATAGTTGAGGACTGCATGAACACTAGCATAGGGTTTAGACACATATTGACGAGTGTAAATGCTCTACTGCAGTTTTACCAACAACATCAAAGAAGATCCAAACTGAACATGTAGGAAGTTTTGACGCCACTGCTCAATTTTTCACTTAAATACTAAAAGTCTCAAATCAGTCCATTTATTTGGAGCCTTTTCTGTCACATTTTTCTATTCAGACTAATCTCGTTCCTTCTCGGGTGTCTCATGCATTGAGTGCCATGAAACTCCTGGGGGGGAAGATTTCCTTTATTAGTTGTCATCTAAATGAGCTGATCTACTTCCTCAGCCAATCAGGCGTCATAGTTGGAATCAAAGGTCCCACCTGATGCAAGAAGCTGATCCAGATTTGTGAGAACAATAGAAAAAAAGTGTTTTAACACAAAACCTGTAAATTCTGAGGTTTGTTTCATTTACATGGTTTCTTGTCATTATTGTAGCGATTTGTTTAAAAATTTGTGTGTAATTAATTTTCTTTACTGTGGAGTTACTCTGACTTTCTTCTAAGGTAACCACATGGCATTTTTTTTATGCGGAACAGAGCAATTGATTTTGTGCATTGTTCCATGTTCCACAAATTTAGATGTAATGCCACATTTTAATTGGCTTTGTAGAACGAAAAAGTCAGCGTTGCCAAAAAGATTTGGGACAACACACAGTCCGAAATCTTCTTTTTTTTTTTTGTAGAAGACAATAAAGTATGTTCATTCCATCTATCCATTGATTTGTTGCTGCTTATCAATGATCAGAACACAGAACTTGGGTTAAGTGCAGAGAAAATCGTAATACCGAAGACGAACAAATACTATAAATCTGTGCCCTCCATTCACTTGAAATCACACCTGATACTCTTGTCACACTGTTTTCAATCCTTCTGAGTATCCAGCGTCTCTCTGGAGGTTTATTGTAGCCCAGTCTCAAAGTAGGATGCGGGTTTTCCTCCATTGGCAATTTGTCAACAAAGTGAAATAAGCACAGATTCAGCATTTTGGGTGGTTTCTTCAAGTTCAGATTCTTCAGCCACATTCTTCGTAATTCCTCGTCTGTAGTAGGTGATGGAAACTATACCACTTTTCACAGGAACATGCTATTTTTGTTTTGGGTCCATGTTCAAAACTCTGTTGTTGTAGCCACTGATTTAGTTTGATCTGGTTGTTGGTGCATCCGTGAACAACACAACCGGTACCTGAACTCTGCAAGGCTATTTTAGTCAACTTTATGGTTGTTAAAAATATATAAACAAATCAAAAACAGCTGAGTTTTTTTTTCTGCTAAACTAAAGGCAAATTGCTTTCAAATAAACTGTGGTCTGTGCTCCACCAACTAATGTTTACTGCTACTTCCAGTGTCTGACAGGAAGTTGTACCCATAATTCAAGGGTTCGATTATTTTTTTTAATTGTCATACTAGCTCACATTTGCATATTTATGGTATAAAATTCAGACTCAGGTCCCAGGTAATCATCTATACAGTAGAGACGCCAGGAATAAGGTGGAGACAGAGACCAGAACGGTCCTCACAAGCGATACAAGAGCATATTGTATTCTATCATTGTTAGAGAAATGATTGCTTGTATTGTTTTCAGTTCTCAAATGTAGGACGTTCCATATTCTGTGAAATAGATGTAATGGGAATTTAAGGTATTTGTCAAGTCTTCAGATACCGATACTCCAAAGAAGGTTGCATGATAAGCCTTAAGAAAGCATATTGAAGGGCAACTATTGGGAAAAATATCAAAGAATTATTATTTAGGTGTGTTGGGAAAAGCATTGAAGTATTCCCAGTTTAACGTATGTTGTCATCTGAGACCTTGTTAGATTGTATTTAAGCATAGGTTAAAATAAAACCTTTGAACATCATCTGTGCTGCAACATCATTACTATTTGTAACGTCAGTGCATTTGATGTATGTTCCACTCTTAATTTAAATGGGCAGAATTCTATAAGTGATCATAAACCTCCCCAACAATCATTTCATCACATCTTATCTTACTATATCATTTATCATATTGTATCATATTTTATACCATACGTTTTCCTACGATTTAGCTTTTTCATATTTGTAATAAAGAACCAGGAAAGTGTTTTTTCATAAGTGCTTTGCTGCATGTCGATCAAACCACATGTATTCAGGTCAAGTGCAAGTTAACCTGTCACCATCTGCTGCCTATAGCTTTGTCCATTTAAAGGGATTTAGTACACTGACCAAACCAAATCTAACTCTAATTGTTGACAGTTCTGTGGATCAACATGGAGACTAACCCTAACAAAAGAAATAGCTTCAATCTGTGCAAACCAGAATTTAAATCAGTGTGCAGCAAACTGTGGTAATAAACAATATCCAGCCTTGACACACAAATTTTGCTTCAGAATTCCACAAACCTGATCACCCATGATTTTCATTAATGTAAAATAATAAAACCTGACATACCAAACCTCAAATCTGCTCAGATCAATTTTCCTTTGAAATGCTTGATCTTTTTCTAAACCTCTGTGCTCCATTTCAGACAGGCCCATGGCCCATTTTCAGCCTTGATCTAACTCACACAGCTCTGCTCTCTTAAGCATATTAAACTGTGAGGCACTAAAAGCAAAAGTTAAATTCAAAAAGATGAAAGATAAAAAGATTGGCATGGGTGTTTTGCTTAAGAAGAGTTTTTTTTTTTTGTTTCCATGTTGTGTCTATCTGTTATATCTGAGTTGCTTAATTTTGTGAGGGTGAGAAAGAGAAAAGCCAAAGCTATAATGCATCACACTCAGCTATGTGTAAAACATGATTAGTAATCAACAGATTAAAGACTATTAAATATAAATCACATGCTTTAAAATAAAAAAGAAACCTTATAGTGAGAGGTTTTTAAATAGGTCTGAGAGGAGGAAAGAATCCAACTGGCTACATTTGGAGCAAAGCTGCCCTTTTCCCCGAGGCAGAGTCCTCTCCAAGGCCGTGACAGAGACCACTCATCTATAAGTGTGCAATAATAGTGTCTTTTGGTGCTGCCCATCTTCCCGGATGACCCTCTGACCTGCGTTATTTGCTCACAGTCCCTCGGTGGCTGTGGACAGCCCAAACACCTCGCGGCTGTACTGTCTCTAAGCAACAGACGGAAAGCGTGGACGGACCGCCACCCACAGTGCTGCAGTGTGTCATACTGAAGGGATCACCTGGTATCAATCGACTGAGGAGGAAAAAGCACTGAAAACAGACAACAGCGTCAAGCAAAATGGTAAAATTATCTCACTGGAGTGCCATTAGAAAGACAAAATTGCATCAACAAAAACTTTGGCCTGTTAAAATCAAAATGTCTAAATACAGGTCTTTTTTATTATGGCTGCCAGCTTCCTTGTCAAAACCTTGATTCCACCATAATAAACTAAGCTTAATTGGTAGCTAATTTTACCCATAGCGTTGCCTTCAGAGAGACCCAACTGTGTTCATTTTCTAATGACAGCCAGCATTACTCAAGCTAAATTAGATTACCCCAAGGCTATTTCTACGCGGGCCATATAAATCTCCGTCTCTAAACCATCAAGATCAGTTACAACGCATCTCCACCTTTGTGAGGCCATCCTCACTGCTCATTTAATCTGTTCTGACAAATCCTTGGCTCTAAACAAAGCAGAGGTGATGTGGGATGGTGAATTAAGAGTTAATAAGCGGAGATTGAAAAAGAAAAAAAATGAGATTAGCAGAAATATCAAAGGGCTAATGTAGTGATTGTGTTGCAACATTAGACGTTTCAATCAAAAGATGATTTCCCAGGTTGGATTAACACCACGGATTCTTTGTTTTTGAAAATGAAATCTCAGCAGCGTGGTTAAACTTATTCACGAGGATACTTTTTAATTTGGGGACAACACACCTCACGTTGTCAATGAGTGATTTATGATTTGTAGCACATTTGCTTTCTTCTAAGATCGCAATTTGTTTCATATATGATGAGGAGAAATGAAGAATAATTCATCACTGTTACATCTGTTGAGTGACAGTTATAGTTTAGCACCACAGGCAAAAGTGTAGTAATATTTTTGTACATCTGTGTGCAGCACACACGCTAATCTGTCCTAGCAAACCCAAAATTGTCTCTAACTTAGTCACTTCTACAGATATTGAGTTATTAACTGAGGCTCGTCCACAACCTGTGCTTGAGAATTGCCTGGTCTTAAAACGTTGCCTCTAACAGTTGGAGTCTACTCTGTTTGTTGGAAAGTTATGTCATGAAGGATTTTAATGAAACATATTAAAAGCAATCAGTAGATGTGCAGCTACAAGTCCAACCCAACCAAATGTAAAATGGTCGCCACAGCCAACAGACCTTTTGAAACCCAAAAACTGGTATTACTTAATCAAATGTACAAATATTTAGCTTCAACTTGGTGTTATTGTAGTTGAAAGTCATTCACAATACTTACTCTGTGTTACACAATGCACAGCATATTTGCTTTAAACTTTGGCATCATCTGTTAGAGTCAGCACTCTGTCTGTTAATGTATTTAAATGAAACGTTCAAAAAGAAATCAC